ATAATACTACGATAGCATCCGCACAGAGACCGACCTTTGTTCGGACATACAATTCTGTAAATCATGTATAACATGTAATGTCAAATATCTACTTGATTTTTCAAGGAAAATATTTGAACAGGTACCTAGGTTTAATTATATTTTGAATTATTCAGCATTATATTGATATGTAGTCACTACAGTACTTTTTCGACAGTATTATGCACTACTACTTATACTTTATACTAATATGAGTATTATGAATGCCACGGCCATTGCGTATATAATTGTAGACTCACGGTTTACACAATTCGATTTATTTGAACTTTGGTCCGATACCCTTTAGTCAAGTTTCAAAATAGGTAAACCAGAACTGTAGTGTATCGGTACGTTCTATCCAAAAGTTCTTCAATTAATTAGGTTTGGGTGGGTAATGTTTGTCCCTGATGGTTATTGATTTTTTGGAATAACAAATTCAGTTGTACGAAATGCTTTATAATTTCAATAGTCTTGGAAAACATTTATTAGGTGCATAGCGGTTTAAAAAAAACCTCAAATTTAGAGACGCAATCAAATTGCTACAAGATCGTAAAAAAACGGTTATTTAAATTTTGAACATTGCAATTATTACTCGTTTGAATAGAATAAATACAGTTAAGTAATTCGTATTTACATAATATTATACCTAGTATGTATCTGCAAATAATGTAATATTTATTATGCTGACTTTGTAAATGTTTATTGGTTTCTTTGCGGCATGCATTCTGCAGTGTAAATATTAAAACTCAATTATAAAGTATGGGTATATCTCAAAAGAATTGACTACGCAGGAACGAGGTTGTTGTAATTACGGCTCAATATTAGAACGTATTTAAAATATTAGGCGATAAAGCCCATACAAGTTTACAAGTGTACGAGTACCTATTAGTTACAAGCATTATTTCCAGGCGGATACACTAGCCTTTATAAGGCAAAAACTCTGTGTAAACAATAATTAATGGGTTTTGAAGAAGTAAATAAGAAGAAGACGCCGTTATAGAAGTTATAAAAGATCCAATTAACAACGATAAAATGTTAAAGTTAGGCAAAAGATATTTGCATTTTTTTTAATAAGCAGGGGTAGGTAGATATTTTAAAATGTATAAAAACCCCGTATAAAGACGATTCTTGAAAATAATTTATCTGCATTTGATGATGCAGATAACCAACGACTCTCTCAGAAAATACTTCATATTTCGCATGCAAGGTAAACGATACCGGCTTTATTTGTACGACGAACAAAAATTAAGACAACCATTTTCTAAACGACTACATCATTTGAATGCGATTTTAAATTACTAATCATTATATTAAAAAAAAAAAAAAAAAAATTCAAGTTGTTTTTGTTACTGTCAAAAATACCGTATTTTTTTTACACGAATGAATCGTATCAACCATAATTTATATTCCAAATTTAATGTCTCCTGGCCTTATGCAACACCGAATACGTTAATGATAGTGCTGTTTATGTATACGGGCTTTACAAATATCACGAAAGTTGTATATTAAAAATACACAGGGTGATTCACTAAGCGCGCTAATCAATTTTTTTTTTTTTTTTGGTAAAATGTTTTGTATACATAAATTCTGATTTTTGGAATTTTTAAGGATAGTTAAAACCGATATTTTCGTATACTTAGATTTTTCACAACATTTGAAGAGTATCTTGTGGCGATACTAACTTTTATTTTTTAAATGAGAACCTACATTCAAATTTCCATACATATACGGTGTATTACTTCAAACACATTTTGGCGTCAACATTTTTGATTTCCGCCATCCCGTTAACGAGACACTCCACTTTTAAGTTTAAATAGGGCGAGCACGCTCAGTGAATCATTTTATATTATATTATATAACGGGGGACTGAAGAAATGTATTTGCATATGAGGAAAATGACACGAAAAGCGTTATCCAGAAAATCTGAATAATACACCCGAATAGAAATAAAAACAGGTTTTCAGGCGAATCCTCGTCTTTTACAATTAATCAATCGAACCAATCGAACCGAGCTAAACGAGACAAATGAAAAAAACCCGTTTCCAATTAACAAACCGATACGTTTTATAAGGATTCTAAAGTTTAATAACATTATGTATATTTTATTTCACAGACTAGCAAAGTTGCAAAACTACTATAATGATGACCTATTATACCGTTTAAGGTGTAATCGAATACTTATTCTAATTTTTGCAGATATTCTTGAATCACGATTTTTCGGCGTCTTTAATAAAACAATTTATTTCTGTAATTGTTGCAAATGAAAAATTCCTATATCATATAAAAATACGAATTTTGAGGTCGGTAAATCTATTACGAGGAAATAAAATTGTATATGGAATTGCCCAATAAAATAATAACAATACCTATAAAGTATTGCTGGCGTCACGGTTGTCGCGCTGAGTTTTTAAAATCGCAAAAATTTCAAAATGGAGGTTTTTAAGGCCGTCGATTTGTTCTCGTGTTTAAAATATAGTTTAGTAGTAATAATAAATGGAAAACTGAACAAAAAGCAATAAATATTTAGCAAAAGAGTGTTGACCTTATGACGTAATCGTAAAAGTCCTTACGAAGTGCGTTTTCGGTTCGGTTAAATTTATAGGTACTAGAAAAATAACATCGTGAGACTATTATTATTAGTGACTCGAGTCAGTGTAATTAAATAGTTTGTCTGAAAATCAATTATTATAAAAGGGCCTGCTGTGCCGCCGTCGTAAGCAATCCTGGTAATTATCATAATGTACGGAATAAGTGTAACACAGTTTTAAACAAATATTGTTATCTGCGTTATAAATTGCGACGGGATCGATTCGGAATACGGCGCGTCGTTTTGTAATAAATTGTGAAATGCGAGTATATTTATACAAGTAAGTTATATTTACCCGCAAAAACGAATTCGTAAGGGCTAATCCTATGTTTATACGAACGCCACCACTGGCCACCACAGTGAAAACGGCCAAACAAAAACACTCGGAAGGATACCCTATATCGACCATGTATTAACACAACGCATAATAAATATTATGTTAAATATTATTAAAAAAAAAAAAATTAATATGTATTTAAATAAAGAATTAAATGTTCAAAAAGAAAATAGACACAGAAATTCACTGGTCTAAAATGGCCTGTACATTAATCACTGATTTTCGGTTTTCTTAGAAAATTCACACGCGTTCACGCGTAAATGTTTTCGGTGGTGATTTCGAAAGAGAAAGTTATAGGTCCATTTTTCGCACAGAACTAATCGGTGACCGGTAATTCTTAACTAGATGCGCCTATGCATAGAAATTAGTTGTTTACTAAATTGTACAGCCTCCTGCAGGAGATTTCATATTCCATCATTATGTGACTCAATATAGATTTTTTGCGTACCCCGGCTCAGGACTTCTCATTACACTTCAGGTCCCCGAGGTCATTTGACTCACACTTAGTAATTTTTTTTCTTCTCACCTTTTTAAAGGTGTAAACAATTATTACTGAAAGATATTGATAAACTTATGAATGAATCAATACAGCCATGAATATAATTTAGATATGATTGCGAGGATGTTGTGGGGGGAGGGGTAAAGAAATTAGGAAATTATTTTCCTAATAACCAAAAACATAGGTTCACTAATTATTAATAAAACAAATACAAGTCTTCACAAAGTTCATAGCAGTTAGTTTTTATTACTATAACCGAATTATCGGCAACACTCTGAGACAGGCAGATAAGCAAAAAAAAAAAAGGCCTCTATTTCTTTATTAAATAAGGCCCTGGTTTCGAGTGATTTCAGAGAGTTAAATTGTAATAATTAAACATTAAATACCTATTATATAATAGTTGTTCACATAATTGTGTTGTTTTTTTTTTTTTTTTTGACTCTAAGGGGGATGGGTTGTCTTCAATCCTCCTCCCTCCTCGTAAGTACGCCACCGCTTTGTAAAATAAGTATTTATCTGAAATTTAGGATTTCATATTGTTTTGACTTAAAAATAACACATATTTAGCACCTACATTACAAAATACAGTCCTTAGGTTGTATATAATCCTATATAACCTATACCTGAATGTGAGAATATTAATTTAGAAATATACACTTATTTGCGAGTTTTTAAAGTACCCAAAAAATATACGCATTTACCTGACACAGGTGAAATTTAAGGTTAATTCAAGTTAATACAAGTCAACCATTGACCTTCAGTACCTCTTAAATTGTTGATATGTAGTCATAGAACGTCATGTTACACCTTTTTGAGGGTAGTTTGGCGCCACTGTACAGTAGAAAAAGTAATCATAATACAAGTACTTAATTTAAAAATACTATTATTCATATTGATTTTACACAGACTAAATTCATGTTGCGTGCTAAATGGGTTATGAACACACATATATATATATACATGTACATTTTAATGCGAGTGCAAGTGCAAGTATAGATTTTTTTAAATTTTTATATACTTGAATATTATTGGTTCTTTTATATTTTATTACAAACGCGTACCCGGGCCGTGAGGTTCTGAATACGTGTATTGCTTTCATAATTTTTCGTCGCTCTGATATTCTGATTTGAGGCAGTGTAAAAAATGCGGTTGTTAATTTTTTTTATAGATTACTATTGTTATGTATATATGTATGTATGTATTTATGTAGGGAAGAAGGCTGATAGACAATATCATAATTTGTCCGGAACTCCGTTTATTGTGTTTTCTACCTTATAGTTTTAAGAATGCAAATACGTTTCTAGTTTACGTCGGTTATAAGTATATTTAAAACGATCATCCGTTTTGGATGGCATTTGTGAAAACCCAATATAATATTAATGCATTCTTCTAAAAATCATCGCGTTTGGTGTGAACGGTCCATGGTTTTTTTTTTTGGATTAGTTTTCGTTCGAGAGTAGAGTCGGAAACTGGATAATATAACAGGTATTAAAAAACGAAGGTACATAAGTAATACGTATATTTTATTTCATAACAATATTGTTGTCGTTTATTCAAATCCCTCGCACGTATCTTCACAGTGAAATCTATCTATATAAACACGTTATTATCATATCAATAGGTACCCTTACATTATAGTTTATGAATTGCGGGTATTGGATTCTGTGCAGCGCTCAGAAAAATACCGGACCACGTGTTATAGTATTACCTATCTAAAAATAGCAAAAATTAAATTTTTGAGAAAACTCATCTTTCAAATAGGAGATTTATTCGGGAATAATAAACGTAAAAAAAAAAAAAAAAAAAAACACAATTATTGACAACTCATGTATTTATTTCTAGAATAATAATTGACAACCTAAACAATAATAAACACATTATTTAAACTAATGAACAGTCATTCAATTTTTGTTTTCTTTATAATATATTTTAATAATAATAATCGATAATACAGTAAAATTTAAGTACGAGACACGTGGTAGCACCACGTGGTCTCCGATTAATAATATTATTTAATTTTTGAAATTAGGTCACCGCGTTACCTCAAAATACATTAATCGAATAATAAATAAGGTATGTGTACTCCTTTAACCCTTGTATTTCATTAATACTTATTTCTTTTAATTTGTATTATTGTTTTTAGTTTAAGTGCAATTAAAAATTATTGAGGTTTTCATTCGACAATGCAATATTATTATGATGATTTTTAATATTGTGGACTCCGCCCGAATCGAGTTCGACGATTATATTATTTTGAAGTTGTGTATACTCTGGGTACATGTGCCTTAATACAATACTATAATATCATAAGGACGATAATATTAAAATGTATGTGTACATCGATTTAAAATCGGCTAGAATGACAAACATAATATTTTCGGTCGTCGTCCTTGTCGTACACGTACACGTAGGCAATACAAGGGTTAAAAAAACAATCACGAAATCACTATAGTAATATTATTTAGGTTCAATTTTCAAAGACAGTGAGAGAAATTAACTGTGCATAAGTAACGTGCGAAAAAAAGATAAAAGTAAAGGTAGAAAAAAAAAAAAAAAGTTAAAAATTAAATAAATACAAATGATAATAATAAATAAATAAATATACTACATAATAATAATAATTACAATATTATAATCATGAGACAAATGGTCAAACGAACTTAAGTTAGGTACTATATAAGTAAGTAATATTATTAGGCCTAGATTTAAATAATACTATTACCCTGTTAAATATAAGGATAAGGTAAATCAAATAACACGACATTAAGATAATAATAATAATAATAATAATATAACTATCACCTAAATAATGAGCCGTATTTGAACATAAACATTAAGATATTACTTTCTTTTCGAAAAATTAGATTTTGAAGACGCCTAACAACATTATTATATCCCTTATTATAATATTATGGTGTTAACAATACACGAGCAGGTACCTATTACCCATATATGTTCTTAAATTTATCCTCAAACTTATTACACTGGATGATGTTAGTATTTCTAAATCGAAAATCTCCGATGTCCATGTAACTATTGACGGTCGAGCCGGTGTAATTAATTCGTTATCATTTTTTTTTTGTACGCCTTAAGCCCATAGATGTTAAAGATATGGACAGATCACTCCGAGATTTTTACATTTGAGGCTGCTTTCTAAAATGGAGCGGTTAAGGGTAGTTAATTGAGGCTTCATTACATTTTTGCCAATTTATATGATACAAAATAATAGAATATCAAAAATAAGTACCTGAAATTGAATCGTAAATAATAACGGAATTTATGAATGCAGCGGGGTGTAATGGGGTAGGAATTAAAATCAATATGAGAAAAAAACGTGATATGTTTTTTTTTTTTTTTTTTACATTAACATTACTAATGTCACGAAAGAAAAAAATATGCAGCCTCAAATCCTTATTGTCCGAGAATGCCGATAATAACTAACGGTCTAACCATATCTTTATTGTGAATGCTGATAACATTAATAATATTATTTTATATGTTGACATCAAGTGGCAGTGCAACCATTGAAAATCACGTCCCGTTAATATTTTTATGGTTACTGTGCTATGATAAACAATTTAGGAACATACATGGATTCTGTTTGACGGGTCCGTTTTTTTTTTCTTTTTTTTTTTTTTTTTTTTTTTTTTTTACTGGAATTAATTGGCTCAACTACAATTTTGAAAAAAAAAAGTGATCAAATTTATCTAAATATAAATATATAATATGGATATATCCGTACAATAGAATATATAATATGGTTGTATATTATATATAAATAAATATATAATATATAATTTAACATTTACAATACATAAAGTACATATATAGTTTTACAAATAAAATAACTATTATTATATTGTACATATATATATGTATATATATATATATATATATATATATATGTACATACATATATATTTATTTAAAAACTGTGTTTTGTTATTATTATTCGTAACAATAATACTATCATTCTCACTATATTATGAATAACGAATCTGCTAATTTTTAAGACAACAATTTTTTATTCCAGAAACAGATAATATAATATACTTACAACATAAAATTTAACTTTATAACTATAATAATAAATCATTTAACGAATAATTTTTAATAAATATAATATAATATAATATAATATAATATATAATAATAACACTATCACATTGGAAAAAAATGTATGCGTGATAATAATAATCAAATATATATATATATATACACATACATATATATATATATATATATATATATATATATGTATATATGTATATATTTTTTTTTTATAATATGATAATAATAACGTGAAACAAAAAATACTGAGAAAATGACGTGTAATAATAATAAGAAATTAATAAGAAACGTTTGCACAATTTTCTCCCTCCCTCCCGCCCCCTCACAGTTTGTGAAAAAATGTCCGGTTCACACCGTCGTCGTCGCACGCGCTCTCAAAAAAAATGTCACCTACGGATAGACACAAATAATAATATTACGAACTATTTTATTTATTGCTTAAGATTATTATTTAGTTATTTTTTCCGGTTAACGTAACATATATTTTTTTTGCAAAAAATATGCATGTCTCTAATACAACGAATAAATAATTATTGAGCTAGTCGAAAGAACACGAGATCGTATAATGTATTTTTTTAAAAATTAGAATTTTGTGCTTGGTTTTTTTTTTTTTAATATAATATATACTTAATTTATTTGCCATTGTATTATTATTTCTTATTGCGTTCACTTGTTTTTTTTTTTACTTAAAATCTATCCAAGTTTATGTAATACTATAATCGGGAGGAAAAAAAAGTAAAGGGTATAATTTTTGTTTTTAAATTTTTTTAACGGGGAAGACATAAATTTTGAGAAAATCAAGAACACATCAGGCAATGAACTTTTCCGGAGCAACAATATAAATATACCACTAACAATATCACAATTTTTCTGTTTTTCTTATTGAAGCTAAATAGTCGTATTATATTATAGAGAACGAAAAAATTAGCTTCTTATTATTATCATTATGTAATAATAATATTTTTTATCAATTAAATAAGTTTTTTTTTTTTTTAAAAATAGACAATAATGTTCTAACAGCGACTTTTTTTTTTATTAATTAATATTATTATTCATTTAATAATTATTATAAAAAAATATAATTATAAATATAATTAATAGAATGTGCTTTCTATAGGGTGTCAAGATAATATTTGACAACCGAGTACGAGTTTAGTAATATGTAAATCTAAAAAAAAATTAGGTTTTTTTATTTTTAAATAAAATAACAAATAAAGTGTATATGTATACATTTTTATATCAACAATATTATAATATATATATATATTTTTTTTTTTTTATAATTTATACCGTTACGAAGAATATAATATTTCTATCTTTTTTTTTCTTCACTTTTTTTTTTTTTTAAATTTTCAAACCAAACCTTTTCACAGACGCGCTTTGTTTTTTTCTCTTTTTTGTTTTGTTTTTTTTTTTGTTTTACTCACGCAACATATAATAATATTATGTGGTATCTACATCTACCCATACATAAATAATGCAATAATATTATAATACGCATAGTACCCACATTATAATATTTGTATCCATCGTATACGGTTTATTTCTTTATACTTATAATATAACATATATATATATATATAATAATATTATCACGGGGTAGGGGGGAAGATGGTGTTTGGGATATGGATAGGGGACGAAGTGGGAGGAGCGAACGCCGGTAAACGCGTTCACTGAACGGTGTCCTCGATGTCCTTGGCTTTTTTGTTGTTTTTCTTCTGCTTTTTGTTCTTCTTGTGCTCCAAGTTCATCTGGTCGTTGGACGGATTGTCCCACGGCTGACGGGTACCGTTTCCAAACACCAGGTAAATCGTACAGCAAATCATGTATACGCACGCCGATGTGATGAACACCACTCTCCAGGCAGCTTGAGTGGGCTGAAACGTTTGAAAAAAAAATAATAATATAAATAGGAAGACCGTATTTGCACACTGTGTTAGTAAAATATTTTATGTAAACAGAAAAAACCAATACATAAGTTATGAATAAATTAGTGCGGTTTCAACAAATTTGTCGTGTTCTCAACAGTTTCACAAGGAACCCTTCCCCTCTCCCGAGAGCATATTATTTACGAAAAGATAACGATTTGTTCAAAACGAGACTCAATTGAATTTCATAAGGGCACGCGAAAACTCTACAGATTGCAGTTAATGTAAGTGACTGGACTTCATTGATCACAAACAAATAGGGAAAAAGTTAGTGTGTTGAATCCGCCGGCGGTAAACAATTAAGATAACTGTTAGTATGTGAACTTCGCCAAAGTTAATTGTATTGATTTTACAACATGATATTTAGAATTATCCAGAGGACATCACAACGAGCCCGAACGCGTGTATTTTCTGTACGATCACAATTACGTCACGAACATATTATTGCAAAATAACCGGAACATAATTGTTTCGTTACAGTTTGACTAACAAATAAGACCGTGAATTTTCCATCGGAAAATGCAGTACAATAGACCGGTCGCCGGGGAAAATTACGTTCAACCAATTCGATTAATCGTTTACGACCCGCGAAGTCCGCATAATATATCGTACATCTGTAATCGATAATCCTGTACGACCGGTGTAGTGACTTTTCGGAGGCGTCGACAGCCGTCCATTTCACAGGAAGACCAAATACACATTTGCGTAAAAAAAAAAAAAAAAACAAAAACAAAAACAACAAAGTTTCCGGGAGAGTCTCCGCGAAAAGACAGAGGAACCGGAATTTCTGTACTGCTCGATAGTTCCAATAACATTACGTTCCCGACCGCTCACAACCATTTCGCACGGGAAATAAATATAAAAACCGGCCACTTGTCATGTTTCACCGCCCGGTATATACCTACAAGTGTGTTGTTAAATAGGTAATCTCACCGATACAATCACCGTAAGCCTTCGTGATGTGTCAGCGGATTAATACTGGGGGGTGGCGTCTGTTTAACCAACGAATTAGGGTGTCGATCGCAGCACAACGTCCGTTTCGATATTGAATCGCTTTTGCCCCCCTACCCCTGCCCCGCCACCCGTGAACCGCCCGACGTGATTTTTCCGGTTTCTCCCCCCCCCTGCGTTTTCGATAGGTTAGGTTAGGTTTTCGCGCGGAGCGAGCGACCAGAGATTACGCACTTGTGTCGTGGGCATGTCGGGGCGTGACGAATTATTGTCGCGAGCGACGACGACGACGACGACGACGTTTTAAATCCCGATTTAACGGGTCGCAGGTCGACCGGGATTCGGTTTTCTCGCGCGTCGCGTTTCCCATACGCGCGTGTAGGTTTTATGCGTTTGCCGTACGCGCGTGTGCGGCTCGTAATGGTAATTCGGGCGATCGGATTGACAAACCGACGGCGGCCCGCGTCCCGATTGGAATATTGCGCAACGATGACGTTATAAAACGTCACGGCGATCGCCGCCGGAGTCCGACGACAGTGTACGGTACATTGCCTGTTTATCATACGCGCCGCGCGTTATAACGCGTCGACGGCATCCCAGACCTCGTCCCGTCGGAGCCGCGAGGTTACCCCGGCCGGCATACCGAAACCGCCGCCCCGTCTGTGCCGGGCCCCCCCCCCCCCCGTCGGTCGCGAGGTACTCGGGTATCGCGTATAGGAGTGTATTATTATTGCGATTACGGTTACGATTGTGATTACGATTATTATTATTGTTACTGTATAGGTATAGCGTGCGCTGGAAAACGCCAAAAAACACATTTTCGATCGATGAACGAGCGTGCGATGCGTATAATAATAATAATAATAATAATAATAATAATAAAAATAACAATAAAAGTGATGCGTAAAGTCCTCTGTGCACGACCGTCGAATCGTCGTTATAACGTCGTCGTCGTCGTCGTTCGGCTTTTATTTATTCGGTTTTTTTTTATCTCTCGCGTGTTTCGGCCGTTAAACCGGCTATATATGCTCGGAAATATATGCCGCGGCGCTCACGGCCAGTATCGGGCAAAGGCAATCGACAATTTCACCATCGAGATTTGCCCAGACATTGACTTGAGATTTGTTTGAGATCGTGAGAAGAAAAGACAACGATTTTCAGCTGTCTATTATTATAGACAATACGGATAATTCGTAAAAAAAAAAAAAAAACGTATATTATTAACATATACATACATTATTCGATTAGACGGGCAATTCAGACTCGAAACGTATTAAGTATCCAATATAGTATATTTGAAAAATCATACAACACATAATGATGTTATGGCATCATTTGTTAATTACCAAGATTACAGTGCGATAAAAAAAAAAAAAAATAAATAAAAATAAGAAACTTTTGAGATTTAAGAAATCACGACGGTTATAATATCATTTTAATATACCTCGTTATGCTTATAGTATCTGTTATCTACGTATTTAACAAACATTATTAAGAAGATAAGAGATAGTATGTCCACATCTGGATTATATTTTGCTTTAAAATCGTTTCGTTTCGGGTACAAATCTAATAAAGAGATATATAATTTTTTATCTAACTCGTGGGATTATCAAGCATTTTCAAAGTGGCCCACAAAATCGCTTGGGTTGGCGTGTGTAAAATATATAGCATTACGACGTGATTTTCTCCTATTAAACAAACGTACAGTTCGAAAAAGAAAAAAATGTTTGCGTAAGCTATGAAAATATTAGAAAAAATTAAAAAATAATTATTCTATAATAATACAGAGAATTTTCTGCTTCAAAATAGTTCCAAATAAACACACACATATGTATTTAAAATGTTTGCCTCGAATTGAGAATAATAAAATCGGATAGATTTTTTTATAATAAATCAATATTGAAAACATAACTTCACTTCAACCGTTACTGCCATACAGTCTTCTGAGAAATCAAACAAAACGTCAAATAATTTAATATCCAGCGATGAATATTGAATTTAAACTTTTTATATTGCAATAGATGTGTGTTTAGAAAAAATAATAAAACATAAAAAATAAAATAAAATTGGCTTTTAGTCACAATGTAAAGTATTATTAAAAAAAAAAAAAAAAGTTTGAACGTTTTCGTGCGCAGAATAACTTAAATGGACGCACGCAGTAAAGCATTTCCATACA